CCCTCTCGGGACTAGTCGCCTATCTTGCTGTTGTGCACTTGGGGGGGAACCGGTTCTGCCGCGTTTTCCACCCCTCTCCAGTAACCTGTCGCTCACACCTCCCCCCTCGCCATCCCATGATTTTGGTTGCGGCGAAGTCACGTGACATATGCTACTACTGCTGCTGGTGCTGGTGGTGGTGCTGCTGCTGCTGTCTTTCTTGGTGGTTGATGTTGCGAATGCTGATGTAGTTGCTGCTGGTGTGTAGCCTCTCGCGTTTGCTCGTGACCATACTAGCTTGAACGACCCCAGATCCACCTTCTCCCACCATTCCTCCCCCCCCCTACCCCCCACAAGCCGCGATGAACTTCACGGTGTTCTGGAGCAAAGCCAGGATGGAGGAGTCCATGGCAGACCCGACCACACCGCTGAGAAGAGTGGAGGTGAGTCGTCGCTGTCCCTGCTTGGGTGGTGGGCACACTCTCTGTGCAACGACTGCGCGGTACAAGTTCCATTCAACACGGGCAGTATCTGACCACACGGCGTTTTGTTCGGATCGAAAAAACGTAGGAATCGTGCCCTTCGCTCCTAGGTAAACGTCCAGATGATGTAGACTGCTCCTCTTGAGGGCACTCGTGGTCCCGAAATAGTAATGCTGGCGTGGGCCCGATTTAGTGCCGGTGTGTGTCCCGGCAAAAAAGAACTCGGCAACGCTCGGAGCCACTGGTACCGCTAAAAGGGGACGGAAAGCAAGTCGATGGTGCCATCTGTGCCGAGCGATTTCACCGACACTAAAAAAGTACATCTGGAGGAGGCGACGCTTTTCGACCGGTGCTTTTGAGGGGACACAATTGTTGCGCAACGAACGGCGTGCGTCGTGGTCGCCCTGGCTGTCCCGTATGTTTTTCCTTTTCGAAGTAGGAACGCCTTCCATCCCCTGTCGACCCATCCCCCAAGGACCACACACGAGAGACTGCTTACTGTCCGCGGTCGCCTTAAAAGGACCGAAGCCCTTTGCTGCACCGTGAAGCCTTGGCTTGTTCCATTTTCTCCCTGGTCAATGGTCAAATGACTACGGCAAGCAACAAATGAGTACGCCCCCCCCCCCCCCCCCCCCCCCCCCCCCCCCCCCCCCCCCCCCCCCCCCCCCCCCCCCCCCCCC